TGCTTGAATTGTAGGTGCTCTTTCACAACAAAACTCCCCATAGCCACAGAAACTTGGCTGTATCACAGTTAGTGGCTTCTAGAGCCAACCTAGAATGGGATCTTAGTTATTTTGCCCACTGGAAACCAGCTTTCAGGATAAATGGAACATTAATCTGATGTGTTTATCTCTGAATTCCAATCGTGTGTGCTTAGGGAAGGATAATTATCCACAGCCTGGCATTGCATCCTGGAAAATATTAACAGTGGAACAAATCTTCACTTTCATTTCACATCATTAACTGCTATTCAGCATATGGAGCAAAATTATCAGTGGTTCAGGTTTCTCAATGCAAATGCAGAAATGCTAGGAAGTTATAGCAACCTATTTCCCCCAGACTTTTTTCTTGGGCTATTTATTGCTCTCTTTCTGTTTTTGAAATATTTTACTGTACACAAGATTTTCATCCCTGGGAAAAGCTTATGCATTTATGGTAATCAGGTTTAACTTTAATTTTCTTTTATTAAAAGAGCATTTATCATCATTAGCAATTTACATTTTACCCAGCCCTTCCCCAATAACTTTGCAAAGACTTAAAATTCATAATGTGTGTGTCTGCGTCAGAAGAGCAGTGAAGCTGCAGAAGGAAATAAATTTTCTACTCCCATTCTTCACTCACAAGCATTTTCTCTCCAATTCAGGGAGGGCAAAATGCAACCATCTAGAATAGATATTGTTGGACTGGATCTCCAATGGTGAAGAATCCTTGGCTATAACTAACTACAGTCAGGAGAGCTGCAGCCTAACAACATCATTACTTCCTCTGTATAATGAATATTTGGGGTTGAAAACATTCAGGGGTAGCTGTGTTGGCCATTTAGCAAATTCAAGCAAAAATCCATCAGTGATACCTTTATTGGCCAACCAAAATGCATAATATACTTGTTGCAAGCTTTCGAAGCTCCATGGGTTGAACTCAGGGACTGAACAGACGGTCCCCAAGGGGCGGCGTTCTGCCACCCCTTTCCTTACTGGATTGGGGCTGCAGCAACCACACACCATGGCCCTGATCCAGTAGTTTGCCACTCTAAAAAGAGCTGGCAAATGCAGCTCCTTTTTAGAGCAGTAAAAAGCTGCCCTTGTTGCTGCTGCAGCTTTTCAGCACTCCTTTGGCGCAGTGTGTGTGTGAATGCTGCACTAAGGGAGAGCCCTGATGCCACCCGCCATCTGTTTGGGTGGGTGGCATGATGGCAGCATTGGGGCAGAGTTGGGATGGCCAGCATGCGGTCACCACACCCCCTCTCCACCCCTTTTGGCTGGTCTGTACAGCCTAAGTCCTACTTGACACAGGCCATCTGAACAGACTTAACACAGACCATCAATAGAACTTATGTGAGCTCACTGTTTATTTACTTAACCAACTCTGCATCCCAGAATATTAAGGTAGTATACAAGAGCCATATAAGTCCAAAATAAACCACAAAATAATGCAATAAACCCATAAAACATTATAGTTGAAACAAACAAAAGCATAAAAGCCAGAGAAAAACAAAACATAAGCAGGCGCAAAGCTAAAATGAATGCTTATTGATTTATTATACATTTATATGTATAATATAAAGTAGCAAATGCTCTTAAGCTGACTGAAAAGCCAAACAAGACCACACACACATGACAATAATATACCTGGGTAAATAAGTGAGCATGTCTTACACCTGATGTGGATCCTTGTTTTAACAACCCAACAAAACAGGAGGGATGTGTGTTAAAAATTATTACTCTGTTCCTGCCATCACCGCCACCACTCATTTCGTTGGGGGGCTGCAGAGTCCTGAAGAGACGAGCCGCAGTGGGTGGTGGGGATGGTGAGCTCAAGCCTCCACATTCTTGCTGATGCCACCACTTGTTTCCTCCAGCAACCCTGGGTCCCAAGGAGATGAGCAGCAACAGTGCTGCTGGGGTTCAAGGACTCAGACCTCCACATTCCTGCTGTCACCACCATTTGTTTCCTCAGGGGGGCTGTGGTGCTCCAAAAAGACAAGACATTTGTGGTTCTTACCATTTCCTTCAAAGTGTTACGCATGTTTGCATATCTTCCAGCTGT